GCCGCGGCAGGGAGCAGTCGGGGAGCGGAGGGCAGACGGTGCGGGTGGGCGAACAGCGCAACACCAGCCGTTGTCTGCTGGTTCTACACCGTGGGTGTTGGCATCAGCAGCTTCTCCCGTGACCCTTCAGTTCAGTCCAGGAGCTTTGGCAGAGACGCGCAGGTGACGCAAGGGCCCATTTTGATGAGTTACTCTGGGAGCCAGGACGAACGGCAGCGTGTCTGCGCTCGGACTCGCCTTTATTCCTTTGGGATGATGGGATGACTCCGGTCTTTTTTTTTTTTTTCCTGCCAGAAGAGAAACCACAAGCTGAAGGCTCTTTTAGAGTCAAAATACTGTTTTTAGAGCAGGCATTTAAGCACTGGACGCCATTGATTTAACTAAACAAACATGCATTAGAAAGAGTGATAATTAAAATATACAATTTAGGTGAGGGAAAAAAAAATTGCCTGTGCCCTTAATTCCCCTGAGATACACTCAGGCAGAGAAGCAACGCACAGCTTAGAAATGTGGTGCTCTGCTTCTGCAAATGGAAAGCGGGGGGGAGCCAGGACCCCTCTCCCAGCACCGATTTCATTACTCGGAGCAGGGTTTCCAGGGCCGGAGTGGGGCCGGGGAGGGTGGGCGCGCGGGCACCTGGGCATTGCCTCCACGCACGCCGGGCTGACGGACCGCTCCGAGGGACGGCCAGGGGCACCTCAGCCCCTGCCTCCCTGCCAGCCTTGGAGCCGCACACCAAGGACTTACCCCACGCTCCAGACCCTGCGGCCGCCATTTAGTTGGTTTCCTCCACTCTTCTCCTTCCCAGCTTATATTTAACTCTGCCAAACCGCTGGGTCCAGACCAGAGGCCCCAGGGCTGCTTTCATCCCGGCGCTGCCCCCCCCGAACCCTCCCCGCGTTCAGGAGCGCTGATGATTAGTCCTCAGCTCGTTTCTTCACCACACAGCCCCTGGTAACGCCGCAGCCCCACCTCGCCGATAAACAGAGCAAACAAATCATCGAGAGCACAGCCCAGTCGCCCCAAATCGCCTCATAAAGCGCTTCAGCCATAAGCGCTGCGTCTGGAGCTGCGATTCTATCCTCCTCAGGAAATTTCTTCATAATAAATTGATGCCTGAGTTATTTGATGAATCACTGCTCAGTTATTAAATCATAAATCATTCCTCCACCCCCCAAAAAGGTAACGAACAATCAGAGGAATGGTTTTTCCTTCCTTTAAGGAGTTAGGAAAAGGACATCACCACGGCCCACCCTCTCAAGGAACGTGGGGCGATGCTTGGCCAGGGTGCTGGTGGGGAAGCGGACGGTTTCCTGGCTTCAGGTGGAAACATGAAGACGACCTCCCTAGGGAAGGCAGGGGAGGGGGCAACGCACGGCGGCTGCTGGGCACCGGAGAGCTGCCCCGCGGCGAGGGGGGCTGGAGCCGGGCACAGGGGCACGAACACAGCCTCTGCCCACGCCTCGCCGCCGTGCCCCGCCCTCACACGGCTGGGAGCACCCTGGGCTGGTGGAAGGGAGGGACCCATGGCAGGGGGGTGGAACTGGATGGTCTGTAAGGTCCCTTCCAACCCAGACCATTCTCCGAGTCTACGATTCAGAATGTGTTGGTTAACCAGAAACATTTAAGCAACAGAGTAAGGGAGGCCATTAGACACAGAAGTATCCTTCTATAGCAAACAGAAAATGAAATGCAAGCTCCAGCAAGGTAAACATGAACTGTGCCACGACAATACTATCAGTCTCTAAAAGGGATCTCTGCAGCGATCTCGGAAAATGTAAACCAGCAAAACCAACCTTTGAAACCCAAAACACCCAGCAAGAGGGCACTAAAACGGTAGCCAAAACGCCAATACACAGACAGAGGGAGAAATAATCCCTAATGATACACACCCAGCCTTGGGCCCTGAATTAACTTTTGTCACTGGAGAGACATTTTGGAATAGTTGTAGATGGCTCTGACAGCTCCAACTCCATGCTCAGAAGCAATTTAAAAAAAACGTTAATTTAGAGTATTATTAGGAATTATTAAGAAAGGAACTTGGAACAAGAGAGTGAAACTCAGCTGTGCCATCAGGGGAGTTCTGGTGAACTCCAATCCTGAACATTTATCATGCAATCACAGAATGCTTTGGGGGTTGGAAGGGACCTTTAGAGGTCACCTAGCCCAAGCCCCCTGCAGTGAGCAGGGACACCTTCAACTAGACCAGGTTGCTCAGAGCCCCATCTAACCTGGCCTTGAATTTCATCTATTTCGGGTAACTCAAAAAGAATATAGTAAAATCAGGAAAAGCATACAGGAGCATGATGAAGAGAATAAAATAACTTCTGTTTCAGGAGAAAAAATATTCAGCTTGGGAATATGCGAGATGCATAAAATCATGAATAGCCTGAAGGTCAGAAAGGATACTTCACAAAAAGCAGCAGCAGGAGCTGCCCAGTGAATCTGTGAAGTTAAAAGCCTTGATGTAGCAGAGAGCTAGAGGGAGAAACCTCCATATCCGCTCTGTTCTTCTTCTCCTCCTCCGCAAAGGTCCCAAACGTGCTCCTCGCTGGCAGGTGCCCAGGGCTGCAGGGAGCATCCCTGCCCAGGACGGAGGGCAGGGAGCCGTGGTGGGCAGCTCCTGGGGGGCCGCCCCGCAGCCCGCCGTCCCACGCCAACGGCTCGCCCCAGCTGGGCTGTTCAGGTGATCTTAGGGGTTTGACTCGGCACAGGAAAACTCTTTGCGAAGGCTTATGCAGAGCTCAGTGGGTTGTGTTCTTTCCAGGGAGGCTGGCAAGGTGTGCCCTCAGCCCACACACGCTGTTGCGGGACCCACTCGCCAGCGCTCGGGCAGCTGCGCGGCATGTTCTGCAGGGCTCGCGGGCAGAGCTGCGGCGGGGGCAGGCACGTGTCAATGGACCACTGTCGGTGGGTTTAGGCTCAAAACTGGATTGATCCGAAGAGTTAAGAGTTGTTTTACTGTAAAGGACTCGTTCCCCTGGGGTGGCTCTGTCTTGGGGGGGGGATATCAATCTTGTGAACAGCAAGAAACTGCAGAAGAAATAGCGTGACTTCCTGCACCGCAGATGGGAAAGCAGCTGTGGGACAGAGCAGCCAAACAGGAACAGCACGGGACAGCAGCAGGGCTCGGGAGCAGGGCTCGGGAGCAGGGCTCGCGCTGGCAGCCCGTATGCTTGGCAGAGAAACCAGACAGCAGGAGGGCAGGGAGCGCCGCGGGCCCGCGAGCACCCCGTCACAGGAGGTGTCCAGGGGACAGACCAGCCAAACAGGAACAGCACGGGACAGCAGCAGGGCTCGGGAGCAGGGCTCGGGAGCAGGGCTCGCGCTGGCAGCCCGTATGCTTGGCAGAGAAACCAGACAGCAGGAGGGCAGGGAGCGCCGCGGGCCCGCGAGCACCCCGTCACAGGAGGTGTCCAGGGGGTGATTCCCGCCCCGCTGCAGTGCGCGCCGGTGGGAGGTGCA